AACGGTGCAATCCTAAAGGTATTGTTTTAAGTCACTCCATTTGTGAAATGTCTTACTGCTGCCCTAGGAAACTATACACATTCCCAGGAATTTCCTTCATGTCCCTTTCCAGCCAGCTCCTGCCTGTGCCCGGAGTGACGCCTCTAACTCTTCGTATGTGCTCACAGGTAACTGGACCTGCTCCCCAGGCAGCTGCTTACACACATAATCACATGGCACCAGGGTTACTATGAGGCAGGCAAGGACAGTCACCTCCCTCTCTGTCATTAAAAAGCGGTGTTCAGCCCTAGCTGGTTTGGCTCAATGGGTAGAGCATCGGCTTGCAGACTGAAGTCTTCGGTTCGATCTGGTCTAGGGCACATGTCCCAGTTGCGGGCTCAGTCCCCAGTGGGGGGCCTGCAGGAGGCAGCTGATCAGTGATTCTCTGCCATCATAGATGTTTCTCTCTCTCTCTCTCTCTCTCTCTCTCTCTCTCTCTGCTTCCCATTTCTCTCTGAAATCAATTAAAAAAAATTTTTTTTAAAGGAGGTGTTCAAAGGGGCCACCAGGGCCAGCTGACTCCTTGCGTGCTTTTAGCCACAAGGCCAGGAAAACTGACTCTACTTGCTTAACTTCACAATGACTTTTATCAGCTCAGAGAACAAACAGCCCCAAGCTAGGACAGCCTCCAGGCTCGGGATGGTCGGGACGGTTCAGCAGTGTCACTTCAGACCCACATTCTTTCCACTTCCCTATTCTGCCATCCTGGGGGTTCGTCTGCAGACACTTTTCCTAGAAGCCCCACCACGCAGACTTGTCCTCTTCTCTCATTGGCAGCATCGGTCACATGCCCAGGGACTGATCAGCTGGCCAGTCATTCATGCCATGTCAGCTGCTGTGATCTTAGATCTTCATTTTCAACCAGAAGGTATTGATATTACTATTATGATCTGAGCTTAAATGTTATGTTGACAGATAAAATAAATAAGAAATTACACAAGTTGGCCCGGTAGCTCAGTCGATTAGAGCGTCATCTTGAAATGCCAAGGTTGCAGGTTTGACTCCCAGTCAGGGCACATGCAAGAATCAACCAATGGCCCTGGCCAATGTAGCTCAGTTGATTGGAGCATCATTCCATACACTGAATGGTCACGGGTTTGATTCCCGGTGAGGTCACAAACCTAGGTTGTGAGTTCAATCCTTGTTTGGGAGGCAACTGATCAATGTTTCTCTCTCACATCAATGTTTCTCTCTCTCTTTCTCCCTCTCTCTCCCTTCCTCTCTAAAACCAATAAAAACATAAACATGTCCTCCACTAAGGATAAAAAAAAAAAAAGAATCGCTGAAACTGGTTTGGCTCAGTGGTAGAGCGTCGGTCTGCGGACTGAGGGGTCCCAGGTTCGATTCTGGTCAAGGGCATGTACATTGGTTGCGGGCACATCCCCGGTAGGAGGTGTGCAAGAGGCAGCTGGTCGATGTTTCTCTCTCATTGACGTTTCTAGCTCTCTATCCCTTTCTCCTCCTCTCTGTGAAAAATCAATAAAATATATTATAAAAAAAAAAGAATCAACCAATGAATGCATAAATAAGTAGAATAACAAATCACTCTCTTTTTCTCTCTCTCTAAAAGTCAATAAATCAAAATAAATTACACAACTTATATTCAGGATCTTAAAAAAACTTCTACGATTCACTAAATGATGAAGGAAAACAGTAAAATTATTTCTAGAACAGGGGTCTGCAAATATTTTCGGTAAAGGGTCATAGAGTAAATATTTTTCACTTTGCATGCCATATGGCCTCTGAGGCAATACTCCCTTTTTTTTTTCTGGATGCCAGAAAGCAGGTAGACAGCAAACAAATGAATGGGCATGGTAGTGTGACAATAAAACTTTATTTAAAATAACGGTGCCTGGCTAGTAGGGAACAGTGATTAAGTATCGACCTATGAACCAGGAGGTCACTGTTTGATTCTCCTCAGGGCACATGCCCAGGTTGTGAGTTTGATCCCCAGTAGGGGGAGTGCAGGTCTCATCATTGATGTTTTTCTCTCTCTCCCTCTCCCTCTGAAATCAATAAAAACATAATTAAAAAATAAAATAACAAGTGGTGGGCTAGGTCAGGTGTAGTTACTAAGGACACCTGTTAAGGAGTATTGTTAGAGCTAAACTGTAAATAGCAATATGAACTCACAGCCTTTATCAATTCTAGCCTGGCCAGTGTAGCTCAGTAGTTGAGTGTCAACCTGCCAGGAACCAGATTCAGCATGTCATAATTACAAGAGTTTTGTCAAAAGGTTGATGAAACTTGGTGGACTCAACAATGGCTGAGTCACACAAATGTCGTTTACCTGTTGGAAAGGCTAAAAAGCATCTCCCCCAAACCTGAAAAGGATTGTTTGCTGCCAGACAGCTCAGGGCATCTTAATCTGCATATTATTGCCTCCTGTTGGCCAAACACTTGAACAGCTGTAGACTATTCCCCAATCTGACCATAAAACCCAACCATTTAAAGTGTAATACCTCCACCTTGCTAAGGACAATTTGTGTTAATAAACAGCATGGAATCCTGAGTCAAGGGGAAGTTTTTAGCTCCTTTAGCTGAAGCTCCTCTGGCCCCCAATGCCTTTCAAAACCATCTTTCATCCTTGGACTCCTTCTTACGTCTCTGCGCAGCTCCTTTCTCCAGATTGTTGACCCCTTCTCAATGCTGGAACAAGGACCCTGGCATTAATGGACGCCCACGTAGGGCCTCCAATATTGACCCATGAACCAGGAGGTCAGAGTTTGATTCCTGGTCAAAGCACATGCCCAGGTTATGGGTTCTATCCCCAATGTGGGGCATGCAGGAGGCAGCTGTTTGATGTTTCTCTCTCATCATTGATGTTTTATCTCCCTCTCTGAAATTTAAATAAAAAACATATCTTTAAAAAAAAACTTATCAATTCTTCCTGAGCACTGAAGTAGACTTTAATCAGTTTTCCACCAAAAATCTGTGTGTAGCGTGGCCAGTGTGGCCAGTTGGTTGGAGTGTCTTCTGGTATACCAGGGGCTGCAGGTTTGATTTCTGCGCAGGGCACATGCATAAGTTGGTGGTTCAGTCTCCAGTTGGGACACGTACAGGAAGCAATGAATCAATATTTCTCTTACATCAATGTTTCTCTCCCTAAAAATCAATAAAAAAATTTCTTCCCTCAAGTGAGGATTTAAAAAAAAAAATGACTAAAGTCTGAATGCCATGAATCTGTAATTATCCTCAAAAAAACAAGAATCCTGATTTTCAGTCTTTATCAAATCACTAGCCACACCTGCTTTTATTTGGATGAACCATTTTTCAGCATCGCCACATAAACAGGCTGATATCCCCTTACTAAAAGATATCTGTTCAGGGTGATACCAACTATATAAAAAGATTCTACTCTCTGTAAAACACAAAGCAAAACAAACATGAAAAAAAGACAAATATGCATAGAAGGATGAGAGGATATTCCTTTTTTCTTGCATTTGCCAGTTCCCACCTTTGCTTTCCACACGTGTATTGTATGAGGGCAGGCTGCGGGGCATTGAGCTAGGAGGGCTGTGGGAGCCACAGGTACCTGGCCCAGAGTACCCTGTTGTGTGCAGGAAGCACAGAGCATCCCACAATGCAGCAGCGTCACCCCCCTCCTTGGCTCCTTAGCCCCTCTGTATAGTGGGGTCCCCTCCCCTGGGCAGGCAGACCGCTCAGGGCTGGGGGCTGGGGTCCCGGGTCCCAGGTCTGGGTGTGGACTCTGGGGTCCAGGCTCCGGGCTGGGTCTGGATCTGGGATTTGGGGACTTGGGCCAGAGACCTGGACCTGGGGTGCAGGGACCGGGTTAAGTGTCTGGATTTGGGTCTGATGTTTGAGGTGGGGAGCCTGGGGTCCAGAGTCTGGATCTGGAGCAGGTGGGCTGAGGCCTGAGGCCTGGAACAGAGGATATGGGGCGCAAGGACGAGGGTTTGGTCTAGGGTCCGAGGTCTGAGGTCTGGAACCCGGGGTCCTGGACTGGGGATTTGGGTTGGAGTCTGAGGTGAAAGTTTCAGAACCCAAGGGGTTTGGGATGGGAAGAGGGAGATAAGGACATTTATGTGATACCAAAACCAATAAAGAAAATTTAAAAAAGAAAGAAAGGTCTGGAACCCTGGGTGTGGGTCTGGAGTGGGACATTAGCAAGCGGGGTGCCGGGTCTGAGGTATGGGGTCTTGGGTCTTGAGTCCTGGGTGTGAAGTGCCGGTGTAGACCGCACCCACTTTTCCCTCGTCCCGCAGTCCCCCCCCTCCTCCGCCCCCTCAGTCTCCTCCCTCCCCGTCCTTCCCCTGCCTCATCCCTCCCTCCCCGCCCTCCCCTGCCCCTCCTCCGCCCCCTCCCGCCCTCCCCTCAGCCTCCCTCCCCTCAGCCCCTCCCTCCCCTCCCTCCCCCTGCCCCTCCTCATCCCTCTGCCCTCCCCTCAGCTTCCCTCCCCTCAGCTCCTCCCTCCCCGCCCTCCCCCTGCCCCTCCTCATCCCTCCGCCCTCCCCTCAGCCTCCCTCCCCTCAGCCTCCCTCCCCTCAGCCCCTCCCTCCCCTCCCTCCCCCTGCCCCTCCTCATCCCTCTGCCCTCCCCTCAGCTTCCCTCCCCTCAGCTCCTCCCTCCCCGCCCTCCCCCTGCCCCTCTCCCCTCCCCTCAGCCTCCCTCTCCTCACCCACCTCCGCCCCTTCCCGCCCCTCACCCGCCTCCCCGCCCTCCCCCTGCCCCTCCTCCGCCCCCTCAGCCTCCTCCCTCCCGGTCCTTCCCCTGCCTCATCCCTCCCTCCTGCCCTCCCCCTGCCCCTCCTCCTCCCTCCCCGCCCTCCCCTCCCCCTCCCCCTGCCCCTCCTCCCTCCCCTCAGCCTCCCTCCCCTCACCCGCCTCCCCGCCCTCCGCCTGCCCCTCCTCCGCCCCCTCCCGCCCTCCCCTCAGCCTCCGCCCGCCCCGCCCGCCCGCCAGACAGGCCGCCCCGCCCGCCCGCGGCGCCGCACCGACAAGATGGCGGCGGGTGGGAGCGGCGGCCGCGCGTCGTGCCCGCCGGGGGGAGCGGGCGCGGGGGGCGGCCCGGGCCCCAGCGCCAACGCCGCCTCCGCCCCCGGCAACGCGGCCGCCGCCGCCTCGGGCCCCGCCGCCCCCGGGGCGCCCCCTCCGGGCGCGCAGGCCGCGGCGGGCGGGGAGCGGGCGGCCGAGGAGCCGGCGCTGCTGCGCGAGCCCGCGTACAACTGGCAGGCCACCAAGCCCACCGTGCAGGAGCGCTTCGCCTTCCTCTTCAACAACGAGGTGCTGTGCGACGTGCACTTCCTGGTGGGCAAGGGGCGCGGCGCGCAGCGCATCCCGGCGCACAGGTGGGCCGCCCCCCGGGCCCGCACCCGGCCCCGCCACCCGCTCTCCCCTCCTCCCGGCACCCGGGCCGCCACCCCGCACCCGGCCCCGCCACCCGCTCTCCCCTCCTCCCGGCACCCCGGGCCGTCACCCCGCACCCGGCCCCGCCAGCCCGGGCCCCGCCACCCCGCACCCGGCCCCGCCACCCGCTCTCCCCTCCTCCCGGCACCCGGGCCGTCACCCCGCACCCCGGCACCGCCACCCCCTCCTCCCGGCACCCCGGGCCGTCACCCCGCACCCCGGCCCCGCCAGCCCCTCCTCCCGGCACCCCGGGCCGTCACCCCGCACCCCGGCCCCGCCAGCCCCTCCTCCCGGCACCCCGGGCCGTCACCCCGCACCCCGGCACTGCCAGCCCGGGCCGTCACCCCGCACCCGGCCCCGCCACCCGCTCTCCCCTCCTCCCGGCACCCGGGCCGTCACCCCGCCCCCCGGGCCCGCACCCGGCCCCGCCACCCGCTCTCCCCTCCTCCCGGCACCCCGGGCCGTCACCCCGCACCCCGGCACCGCCACCCCCTCCTCCCGGCACCCCGGGCCGTCACCCCGCACCCCGGCACTGCCAGCCCGGGCCCCGCCACCCCGCATCCCGGCACCGCCACCCCCTCCTCCCGGCACCCCGGGCCCGTCACCGCTCCTCCCGGCACCGCCAGCCCGGGCCCACCACCCCGCACCCCGGCACCGCCACCCCCTCCTCCCGGCACCCCGGGCCGTCACCCCGCACCCCGGCACCGCCACCCCCTCCTCCCGGCACCGTCAGCCCGGACCCCGCCACCCCGCATCCTGGCACCGCCACCCCCTCCTCCGCCCGCACCCCGGACCCCGCCGCCCGCTCTCTCCTCCTCCCGGCACCCCGGGCCCGCACCCCGGACCCCGGCACCGCCACCCCCTCCTCCCGGCACTGCCACCCCCGGGCCCGCACCCGGACCCCGGCGCACAGGTGGGCCGCCCCCCGGGCCCCGCTCCCTGCCCCGGACCCCTCCTCCTCCCGGCGCACAGGTGCCCCCCCCCCCCGGGCCCGCACCCCAACCCCCCTCCAGGGACCGCCACCCCGCTCGGGCCCGGACTCCCCTTCCTCCCGGCACCGTCACCCCTGAGCCCGAACCCCGCTCCCTGCCGGACCCCTCGTTCTCCCGGCACCGCCACCCCCGGCCCATCACCCCCGCACCGGGCCCCGCACCCCTCTCAGCACCGCAATCCCGCCGCCCCGCTCCTGCCCGGACCCCTCCTCCTCCCGGCACCAGCACCCCCCGCACCCGGGCCCGTCATCCCCGGACCCCACCACCTGGCATCCGCCACCCCCAGCCCCCGACCCCCTCCTTTTCCCGGCACCGTCACCCCCGCCCCTCCGCCCCCGGGACCCCCGAGGCCCCCCACCGGGACCGAGGACCCTGTGAGGACCCCGCCAGCCCGAGGTCCCCACTCCCAGGCCCCGGCCCCAGCCTTCCACAGCCCCTCAGCCCTGGCCCTGCGGTCCTGCCGGGCCCTCCACCCGGCCTCCCCAGCAGCCATTCCCCACCCCAGCATCCGCGTCCTCCATGTCCACCCAAGATCCCCGCCTGCCATCCTGCCCCAGCGCCCCCCTCCGCCCAGCGCCCTCCACCTGTGACCCCCCAGAACCCACCTGACTCCTGGGCCCCTGGCTGTGACCCCTCAGCCTCTGGAGCCCCCCTAGCCCCTGACTCCTTCCAGCCCTCTGACCCAGGCCTCCTCTGGAAAGGGCGAGTTGGTCCAGGTCCCATCCTTCTGCTAATTTCCCGGCTGCAGCCCCCAGACCCCTGGGCTGGGTGGGCTGATGTTAGATCACGTTCTGACCACTCCTGACCCTCTGATGCTGCTCCCCATTGCACCCAGGGACCTCAGTGGGGAAGGCTGTGGGGGGGTGTCTCCCCCCGGGAGGCGGGCGGGGCTTTCTTGCCTCCCCTCTGGCAGTGTCACCCAACCTGCCGTGAGGGTCCTTCCCCCGCTGTGCCGTGTGACATTAACCTGTGCCTTTGAGAGTCCTTGTGGCTTCTCCGTGGTTATTCCTGTATAACTGGGCTTGATTCCTGTCCTCGGAAGGTTCCAGGCCAGTGGTTGGGCCCCCAGGACCTCCCGGGGCCCCGCCCTCACCCTGTCACCATGTGGGCCGCCCCTTCTTGACCCCTGGCCTTCCTCATGCCCCTCTTGCTCCTAAATAGTCCAGTGCACACGCTCCCGCCCACCGACCCCGGACTGCAGCTCAGCGCAGCCAGAAGCCCTGCCCTGTGAGGGCACCCCCGGGCTCTGCTTGGGGGTGAGGGGGGCTCCCCTGGCCTGGCTGCTGGCTGACCTTGGGACAGGCACTTGGTTGTGCTTGAAGGTCCATTGGCTGATGGCAAAATGGGGACAAAAAATTGGGCATGAGGAACCCTGGGGAGAAGCAGGTGAGGGGCCTGGCCCTGCCAGGCGGCTGGTGGCCCCGGAGCCTGGGCGCTGGTGGGAGGTGGACGGTAACTGGAGGACAGGGGTGACAGACACGGCATGGGGATTTCAGTGGGCAGGGGAGGCACAGGGCCTTGGAGGGGCTGGCGGGGCTGACCTGCCTCGGGCAGGGAGGGCAGTGCAGGGCTCCTGACTCAGGGGTATGAGGCCTGGAGACAGAGCAGGGCCTGAGCAGAGGGAGCGAGGGGCTGCAGGCTGCAGGGGCCGAGTCTGCTGGGGAGGGTAGAACGGGCCATACACCACGGGGACAGGCTTGGCGGGGGCAGCGGAAATGGGATGCGAAGGTTCATCTTCTCTTTGGGGAAGCAGTGTCCTGTGGGTGCTGAGGAGGTGACTTGGCAGTTGAGGGAGAGTGGGGGACAGTGGTGGGGTTCCCTGGACGCCTTGCCTGAGCATCCTGTCCCAGGGGAGGCCAGGCACGGAGGGGCATGTTGGAGGGACTGCGACACGCTGGAGAGATGGCCAGGGGCTGTGTGATGAGGGCTGTGCCTTGGGGGTCTGTGATGTGCAGGGGCCCATAATGTGGGAGTGGGCGGGTCAGCATGTGGGGTGCAGGCTCTTTGGCGTGGGGGTGCATGCCTGCATCCCGCCGTTCACCATCAGACTGGCCTGCCCCCCAGATTTGTCACTTATGCCAGGAGCCCCCCGAGTCCCATGCTGCCCCGTCTCTCTGCCTGGCTTCCCTGCAGCACATCGCCAGCCCCCCGGCACCTGAAAGCTCCCTGATCCTGGGTACTTGCAGCCTGGATGGGACTTTTCTTGTCCTATTGCCCCGGCATTGATGCCCTGCTCTATGGATCCTCAATAGAAGGTTCTAGTTCTTTTTCTTTTTAGTCTTTGGTTTATTTCATATAATTTGTTAAAATTTTACCTGCAGTATCAGGTGGATGGCTGCCCACCGAGTGACCCTGGGTTCGCTGTGCCTCAGTTTCCCTACCTGTGAACTGGAACGGACCACTCAGGTGCCTCTGTCCTGGAGAAGGGTGGTCTGGAGAGTTCCTGGTCCTACGGAGACATCCTCCAGCTGGACCTCATCCTCACCCCTCCTGAGGCGGCTGGGAACCTGATGTAAAGAATTCAGTGGCGCGCTGGCAGGAGGCGCTCAGTTTGGCATCATCCCGTACACCAAAACATTGCCGGTTCAATTCCCAGTGAAGGCACATGGCCAGGTTGAAGGTTCGATCCCTGGTAGGGAGCGTGCAGGAGGCAGCTGATGGATGTTTCTCTTTCTTTTCCTCTCCCTTTCTAAAAAGATCTTTAAAAAAAAACCGAATTGAGTGGAAAGTGGACCCTTCCTCAGCCAGGTAGTCATGAGTCAGTCTCAAGGCGATGCTTGTATGTGTGTCAGGGACCCCGATGGGGTATGATGAGAAGGGTACCTCACCTGGGTGTGCTTTCCCCCCCAAAACTATAAACCTTATATGGTGGGCTCAGTAGTGGACCCTCCAAAAGATAGATTCACATCCCAATTCCCAGAACAGTGATTGGGACCTTAGTTAGGAAAAGGAGCTTTGCGCATGTGATTGAGTTAGCGTCTCAAGATGAGCTCAGTGACATGGCCCTTCGGAGAGACACGGAGGAGAGGCAGCAGACGGCCATGTGATGACAGAGGCAGGGACAGGTGGTGTGGCCATAGGCCCAGGGACACGGGTCCCCAGAAGCTGGAGAGGCAAGAGGGGCCCTCCGTGGGCCTCTGGGGGGAACATGGCCCTATGACACCTCAAGTCGGGAAGTCTGGCCTCCAGAATGGACTCCAGTCTGCAGCACCTCGGGGAGCAGCCCAGGAATCCGTCTGTTCAGTCCAGTTTGGAGGAAACGAGAAACACAGCGGGACACAGCGGTGGTCTTCCAGGCTGCCAGGGCACGAGTGCCAGAGGGAGGCAGAGAAACTCACAGCCTGGGCAGCCCGAGGGGCACCACAAGCACAAGGGATCCTGGACGGGGTGCTGGGGCTGGGACTGGGGACTCTCGGACAAAGCTGGGTGAATCTGAAAAAGCAGTAAGGGCCCGTGTGGCTCAGTGGCTGAGTGTCGACTTATGAACCAGGAGGTCACGGTTCAATTCCCAGTCAGGGCACACGCCCCGGTTGTGGGCTCGATACCCAGTGTGAGATATGCAGGAGGCAGCCAGCTGATCTGAGTCTCTCATCAGTGATATTTTTTTCTCCCTCTTCCTCTCTGAAATCAATAAAAGTATGTTTCAAATAATAAAAAGATAAAAAGCAGTAAGGGAGGGGCTAACTTTAAGGTGTGGTCTGGCCCACCAGCTCCCAGTTCCCAGCTTGGGGTGGTGGTGACCGGGGCTCAGATTGGCCCCTGCCTCTGGGTGCAGAGTGCAGTGGGGCCTGGGGCCCTGGTACGGGGGTTGGCATTAGTAAGAGCAGTAGGGGCTGGCCCTGGCCCTTTGTCCTCCTAACGTCCCAAAGCTTGAAGTCTATATTAGGTTGTCCTTGGCTTTCTGTGAGCTGGGCTTTGCCTGTCTCCTGCTTTGCATCCCAGGTGCCTAGGAGAACGCTTGGCATACAGTAGGTGCTCAATAAATACATGTAGGCCCTACCTGCCGGGGTAAAATGTGTCCTTCTCTCTCACGACTCGCTCTGAGGAAATAGTGAATGCCTTCAGAGTAGCACACATTCGTGGACATGCTAATCTGGCCGTTCCACAAAATTAACTGGATGGCAAATGTAGCCACGCCAAGGAGTTTATTTATTTATAATATGTTTTTATTTATTTCAGAGAGGAAGAGAGAGCTGGAAACATCAGTGATAAGAGGAAATTATTGATTGGCTGCCTCCTGGACTCCCCCCCCCCCCCCCCCGCCCCTGCACTGGGGACAGAGCCTGCAACCTAGACGTGCCCTTGACCGGAATCAAACCCGGGATCCTACGATCCGCATCTGACACTGTCCACCGAGACAAACCGGCTGGGGCCACGCCACGGAGTTTAGAATGTGTCTGGAGCTTCTTTCGTGGCATCGATCTGCTTCTGGGTTTTGAGTCCAGGGACTCCTTTTTCTATGGCAGTGGCTCCGTGGTGTGTTTTGAGAATTGCTGAGGAAGTTCTTTTCAACTTCATTTCGTGTCAGGACTTTTCCAGTTAGTCTTATATATGGACTCTTCCAGAATCCATCACCCATCTGTTCATCCCTTCAGCCACTGAAGCACGATGCTAACAGAAAAACGTCCTTCCCTGTGCAATGCACATTCTAGCCCGGCGGCAGCAGACATAGGTAAAGAGCCAGATAGCAGATATTTTTGGTGGGATGCATGGTCTTCATCCCAGTCGCTTAATTCCGCCTTCACAGCACAGAAAGAGTAACATATAAATGAATGACTGTGGCTGTGTCCCAATATTTATAAAAGCAAGTGGAGGCTGAGTTTGCTGGCTTTTGGTCTAGTTGTTCCTTAATGATCTTGAGAATCGTCAGGTGCTAAAGCAATTTCCTGGGGAATTGGACTGGGTTGGGGAGAACTAGTAGTTAAACTACGGAGTGTATCTGGGGATATGATCTTTATTTATTCAGGGGTCCTTACAAAAATTTTGTCATCCTCTGTCTGGTTTGGCTCAGTGGATAGAGCATCAGCCTGTGGACTGAAGGGTCCCGGGTTTGATTCCGGTCAAAGGCATGTGCCCGGGTTGCAGGCTCGATCATCAGTGGGAGGCCTGCAGGAGGCAGTCAATCAATGATTCTCTCCCTTGAAATCAATAAAGTATATTTTTTAAAAATACTATATTAAAATTTTTTGTTTGTTTGTTTTCATCATTGTATAGCTCTTGCACATTTAAGTTGCTGAATTTTTGCTTAGGTGTTTTGTTTTTACTTCTCTTATGAATAATTTTTTCTTTATTATATTTTTCTACCTGATTATTGCTGGGACATATTTATTTGTATGCGATTTGGATGATTTCTTTTTTTTTTTTTTTTTTTTTTTTTTTTTTGTTTTGTTTTTTTAAATTTTTTTTTTTTTTTTTTTTTTTAAATATATTTTATTGATTTTGTACAGAGAGGAAGGGAGAGAGATAGAGAGTCAGAAACATCGATGAGAGAGAGTCATCGATCAGCTGCCTCTTGCACACCCCCTACTGGGGATATGCCCGCAACCAGGGTACATGCCCTTGACCGGAATCGAACCCGGGACCTTTCAGTTCCCAAGCCGACGCTCTATCGATTTGGATGATTTCTTTCCAAACTCTCTGACTGTTAATTGTTTAGCAAACTTCGGTCTGGCCCCGTGCAGTAGTTTTTCCGTGCCAATGGGAATATTCTAGATCTGTGCTCTCCAGGGCTAGTCACAGGTGGCTCCTGAGTGCGTGAAATGTGGCTGTCACAATCCATGAATAGGCCTTTTATTTACTTTAATTTTAATTTAGACTTAAATAGCCTTGTGTGGCCAGTAGAAACCATATGGCAGTGCAGGCTTAGAGTTTTAAATTAAAGAATAATTTTAAAAAATATATTTTATTGTTTTTTTACAGAGAGGAAGGGAGAGGGATAGAAAGCCAGAAACACAGATCAAAGAGAAACACCGATCAGCTGCCTCCTGTACACCCCCCACTGGGGATGTGCCCAAGGTACATGCCCTTGACCAGAATCGAACCCGGGACCCTTCAGTCAGCAGGCTGATGCTCTATCCACTGAGACAAACCGGTTTTGGCTTACAGAAACATTTTTATGGGAGAATCGTTCCTCACACTTTCATCTTTCTGCCTCTTATATTTTTCGGTTTTTATTGCACTTCTGACTGACCCCCAGGGTGTAGCTCCATCCCAGGGGTGACAGCACGCAGTCCCGGTGATTTTCAGTTACATGGAGCTTCAAGGTTGATTTCCCACAAATTCTTATTAACAAGGTCCGGAGCCTTCTTTCCATTCTTTGTTTACTCAGTTTTCAGGATTGTGGGTGTGGGGTGTTATCAAGTGCTTTGCTGATTTGGGCTTATTTGATGAGATGACTGTGCAGAAAGTTTATATGATTGTCACCTGTCACCCCAAAAGTCCCTGCTGGCATCCCAAACCCCAGGCAGCTGCAAGCCCTCTGCTTCCTGTTTCTCTTGTTTTGCCATTTTAGTGTAATGTTGAGATTCGTCTGGGCCATTGTGTCTCAGTAATTCATTTCTTTTTCTTTTTTCTTTTTTTAATATATTTTATTGATTTTTTACAGAGAGGAAGAGAGAGGGATAGAAAGTTAAAAACATCAACGAGAGAGAATCATCCATCAGCTGCCTCTTGCACACCCCCCACAGGGGATGTGCCCACAACCAAGGCACATGCCCTTGACCGGAATCGAACCTGGGACCTTTCAGTCCGTAGACCTACGCTCTATCCATTGAGCCAAACCGGTTCGGCAGTAATTCATTTCTTTTTCTTGCTAAAGTAGAAATACTTTCTCTTGCTGAATGCCACTGTGAGGTTTGTCCACTCAGCAGCGATGGGTTTCACTGCCAGGAACAACGCTGACGGGGACACACAGTCCCTCTTCTCCTAGGCAGGTGCCCAGGGTGTGCAGGCCGCATCACAGGCTAACTCTTACTCTGACCTTGTAAGAAGCCACCTTTCCAAGTAGCCACACCATCGCCGGTGCCCGCAGTGCCGAGGGCTCTGGTGCCTGTGGGGAGAGGCTGTCATTGGCTGGGACCTGGGGGGGCAGAGGATGGGCAGCTCAGAGAGGGTGGCACTGTTCTCAGCTGGTCACACACCCCTACCCTCTGCCCGTGGATGGGTGGCTCACTAGGAGGGCTCACAGCTGGCTGGAGGGAAGACGGGGTCCTCACAGCTGAAGAAGACCCGGCAGGTAGGCTGGAGGGGGAGTCCCTCTCAGCAGAATTTACAGGTCTCACAGCCACTGCCTCCGTGTGCTCCTGCCATTCCCTTGACCCTGACCCCTGCCCACACACTCCGCGAGCTCAGATGTCCCTGCCAGGCCTTTCCTGACCCTCACTCCTCTGCATTCTTCCCTTCTAGTTCACTATCGGGCTGTCTGTGCCCTTGGCCTGTGTCTGCCTTCCTCCAAGAAGGCGGGGTCCCGGTGCCCAAGCCCCAGCACAGGGAGTGTGTGTGAAGCCAGCGAGTGAGAGAGGGCGTGCATAACTGAGTGAGTGGGTGGGCGGCCGAGTGAATGGGTGAATGGAGGAGGGGGCTGGCAGAGGACATTAAGCCATCGGCCATGGGGGACATGATTTCACTCCTGTCGCTATTGGTCCATTGAATCCCCTCTTGCTCTGCAATATCTTTCTTCTGGAAGCATCTGCCACCGGGAAGCTCTGGGCATGGTGTCTGTTGGTGTGGGGTCAGCCTCTGGTTCGGCATCCCACCCCGGGTTAGCCTAAGGCAGGGTTTGGCAGAGGCTGGAGGTGCGCTCTGGGACTGGCTGTGGGGTGGCTGCCCAGAGCCAGCATTGGTCACTGGAAAGCCTGGAGAGGGTCTGACCCAGGGCCTTGCAGACCTGGAGACGGCACCTCATGGGTAGCGACACCTGCCTTACACATCCCACCCCTCTCCACAGCCCCAGCTTGGGTGACAGGTTAGGGGGGCCACACGGAGGGTAACCAGGTCTGCTCTTCGCTCTAGGTTCGTGCTGGCCGTGGGCAGCGCTGTCTTTGATGCCATGTTCAATGGGGGCATGGCCACTACGTCCACTGAGATTGAACTTCCCGACGTGGAGCCGGCTGCCTTCCTGGCGCTACTCAAGTAAGACTCTCCGATGCATCGCAGTGAGGGGCAGGATGGACAGCCTGATGGTTTACAATGTCAGCAAACAGCCTGGCTGGTGTGGGTCAGCTGTTGAGCATTGACCCAGGAGACAAGAGGTCACAGGTTCGATTTCCGGTCAGGGCTCCATCCCCAGTAGGTGTCATGCGGGATGGTAGCCGATTAATGATTCTCTCTCATCCCTGATGTCACCCTCCCTCTCCCATCCTCTCCGAAATCAATAAAATATATTTATAAAAAGAGAGATTCCATAAAAAATAAAAACCAAAAACAGTGACAGGTTGCAGTTTGCCAACCCTGCCTGAGGTTACCTGTCCCGTCTCTCCACCTGTCTCTGCCTCTGGGCTTGGACAAATACTGCTCGGTGGGCTCCTGAGAGGACCAGCACCATCACTGGGTGTGCGAGGGGCTCACTTGTCCTTGGGTCTGTCCCTCCACACTGCTGGCATTGGGGTGGGGCCGCCCTGAGGGGGGCCATCCTGGGTGCCATGGGTAGTGAGGTACCCCTGCCTCCTGGGGTGCAGGTCTCTCTACCCCCTGGACCCCAGCTGCTAGGCTGTGTTTGGACTCCATTTTGCACCCACACCTGCCCGTACAGGACTCTGGGTTTCCATGGCCTCACCATTTTGTTTTTGTCGACCCTCACTTCTGGCCTACATTTAGTTGGGCCAGTGGCGGGTGGTCCTAGTGTCCACGAGAGTCTGTGATTTGCCCAGACCTCCTTGAGCTTGGCTGACAGGCCAGCAGTACAGGTTGGGTGACAGGGAGACGTCCCTGAGTCCCTGCCAAACCCCTGCTGGCCTTCGGCCCTGGTGCCCCCGTGTGGGGAAGGAGCAGGATGCGGTACAGATGTGTTCCCGTGTTGGCGAGCGGACGGTTTAGCTTTGCACTGGTAATGGCCTTTGCTGGGTCATGTCTCCAGGTTGGAGGGCAACAGATGCTGGTTCTGGAAGGTTCCTCGGGGCTAGCCCAGCGAGCTGGGGGCTCTGGCAGGGGGTCTGATGGCACCAGGGTCCCTAGGGCCCTGCCTTATGGCCACCCACATCCCACCCAGGTTCCTCTACTCGGACGAGGTTCAGATTGGGCCCGAGACGGTCATGACCACGCTGTACACCGCCAAGAAGTACGCGGTGCCTGCGCTGGAGGCCCACTGCGTGGAGTTCCTGAAGAAGAACCTCCGGGCAGACAACGCCTTCATGCTGCTGACGCAGGTGCGGGCCGGCCAGGGCCCGGGGGGGGGGGGGGGGAGGGCCCCTGTCCCTTCGCCTGGGGGCCTCCTGAGGTCTTTAGGTGAGTGTCTAGGTGGCCTTGGCACCTGTTGGCATAGGGCTCCACGTTCATCCAGCTGCAGGCTTCCCGCAGGCTTTGCCCTTTGTTCAGGGGCTCGGCGAGGGGAGGGAGGCGTTCATGTGTTTTTGAGATGGTCCCTTTCGGGCTGTGTCAGCTGGCTCTGGTGGGGCTGATGGGGCTGTAGGGGACCAGGAGGCCTGGGCACAGGAGAGCGGGGGAGGGCGGGGGCCCTCTCTGTGGTGACAAATTAGATTTGCAAATCCTTGCTGAGGTGGCACCTGGGCCCAGCCCTGACCAGCTACTCACTGAGTTGCTCTGAACTGCCAGGGTCAGAGCTGTGGTGAGGGGCCACTTCCTGGCATCTGCTGAGACGTGTGGCCACGTGGAGGGCCCTCACCAGGCCCGGCAGAGAACCGGTCCGTTAGCAGTTAGCTCCTGGGCAGGGTTGTCAGAATCCTCTCACCTGCCTGCCCCCCACCCCGAGTACCATTCCTGGTGGAACAATCTCAGACGAGCCGGGGCTCAGCGCTGCTGTGTGGTCCTCTCCCCACGGGCCTCCCTCCCTTGGGGTCAGCCCTGTCTGCTGCCTCTGCCTCCATCCCTGAACCACTGCAGGCCCAGCAGGGTCTTTTTCCACTGGACCCTCCACCAGGCGTGGTTACGTAAGCTGTGAACTTGGAGAAAACCTCCCGGCCTCCGGTTGATGTGGGGGCACCCAGGCCCTGAGACTTGAAATCTGTGACAAGTTTTGAGCCAGGAAATCTGTCTTGGATCCTGTGTCGGGGCTGGATGTTGATATGCTGTCCCTCGTAGGCCCGGCTGTTCGACGAACCACAGCTTGCCAGCCTGTGCCTGGAGAACATCGACAAGAACACGGCTGACGCCATCACCGCAGAGGGCTTCACGGACATTGACCTGGGTAAGGCCTGTGGGCACCTGGGAGAGGTCACCTTATCTCCTGGAGGCAGAGAGGGCACACTCCCTGCAGAGCTTCTGCCTGGGCCACCCCGCTCGGCTGCTGTCAGTGACGGGATGGAGGGTGGGCGTGGCCACGAGCCTGGGAACACTCAGCCACCAGCATAAGCAGAGGCTGCCCGGTGTGCCAACAACCCTCCCTGGCGGAGACCGTGGCATCCATGTTGACGTGGCCCCCTGTCCCCCGCAGACACCCTGGTGGCCGTCCTAGAGCGGGACACGCTGGGCATCCGTGAGGTGCGCCTGTTCAGCGCTGTTGTCCGCTGGTCTGAGGCCGAGTGTCAGCGTCAGCAGCTACAGGTGACACCGGAGAACAAGCGGAAGGTCCTGGGCAAGGCGCTGACCCTCATCCGCTTCCCACTGATGACCATCGAGGAGTTTGCCGCAGGTAACGCGCAGGGGGAGCGGGAGCCGCTCCAGAGGAGCGTGACCTCCCAGGACCCTGAACGTGGCTCAGTTGCATGTCCCACCGGGTCTGGCGCCAGCCCTGTGTTGGCCCCAGAACCCTGCCAGGAACACAGTGTGCCCCCCTGTGCTAATGACTCTCCCTGTTGATGGGAAGCTTGGACTGTTCACAGATGTATAAACACAGCACGACCCACAGATGTCACTCAGTCCCACATCTTGATGTTTCCTTCCCTCTGCGTCTCCTGTGTCCGCACACGTGTATGAGTGTACCAGCCCCCGAGGGTCCCTGTCTTGGGCTCACATCCTGGGGGCAGGGCTCCGGCTTCATTGTCTGTGACAAGCCTGTGAAGGGGTGGGAAGTGGCCAGGGTGGTGGTGATCCTGCTGCAGGGCCTGGGGTCTGGGCTGAGGTGGGGGTGGCCCTGACACTGCCTCCTACCCCATGTGAGGCCCACATCTTGGGGCCATTTGAGCAGCTGACTTGGAACCCCATCCCCCAGGACTGGGCCCCCTGTCATTGTCATTCTCCCAGCTGGTGCCAGCCTTAGCCTTGGAGCCAACAGGCCTAGAAGGTTCTGGATGGGGCTATGTGATACAGGCCTGTGGCCAGTGCTTATTGGCCCCCATCCACTTGAAGCCAGGAGCACCCCCAGTCATAACCACCATGGACGCCTTCATACCTCGCCTGGTGTCCCCTGAGAGACCCCTGGTGCAGCATTGGACTGTCCCGTACCAAGACACCTATGGGGTCCTTGCTGGCCCTCCCTCTGCAGACTGACTTTCACCCTAAAACCCTCTCCTCAAGATCCCCCAGCCTCCCTGGCTGCCAGAGCCCCTGGGAATTGGCAGGTGGTGACCTTCTGGAAGTCATCCCCTCGCCCCCCGCCCCAGCGTGAAATGACTGTGTCCTGTGTTTGAGTTGGGCCTATGGCCCTGTCTCTCTCTGGTGGGCCCCACAGGGCTTCAGCCCTTGTCACTCTGTGTTTCAGAGATTTCCCGGCTTATGTTCCACTGAAAATACAAGAAAGTAGACGTTTTAATCCCCCTAGCTGCATGGATGGAGGCCGAGGTTGGATGTATTTTTCTTTTGCATTTTCTATGCAGAGATTAAAAAACCAGTGGTCAACATTCTGCATTCAGTCTTGTATCGTCCTTATTCACGGACTCAAAGGTGTGCCGTGCCCGTTGTGGTCTCTGTTGATGTGTGGGGCTGTGTGAGCTGAGAGTGATGCTGTAGCCAACCATCTCAGAAATGGATTCCGAGTTAGAAAATAGGTCACTCTGTGGAGCTTGAGGCCCGAGTCCTGCCTCTGCCCTGGAGGTGGAATAGTGATGATCAGGGCATTTGTAAGGGCCCCAGGCCCTGGTTCCTGCCCCAGCCCTGCCTGTCCTTGTTATGCACGTGGCCTCCATGGCTGCTGTCTGGATTCCCCCCTCCCAGCTCCCAGCCTATCTCAGGCAGGTCCCGTCACCTCCCTGGCAGTGTCAGCACTGGCTGGCCAGGATCCCCCAGACCAGCAGTTGCCAACAGGTGGTCCACCGACCACTGTTGGTCTGTGATGTCCGAAAGGTTGGTGGCCGCTGCCCCAGACCACTTTTAGCTACTGATGGCTCTGCGTGTGGACAGGCCAGTACCACCTGTCCTGTCAACTACGGGTGGACCCGAGGGGTGGCCCTGGTGCATGCGGGGAGACCTAGGGCCATTATGCCCAGTAAGCCAGCTAATCAAAGCATCACCTCAGGTCTGCGTCGACCTCTTCCCAAGTGCCAGAGCAGAACAACAGTCCTCGCTCAGGGCTGCCTGGACCCCTAGCATTTTGCAGAAAATCCAATGTCACTTCTGAGAGGAGCTGTGGGCTTGAGATGCCCATGCATTCCAGGTGTCTGTGTGCCTGGGGTTCACCTCAGGTCCTTCCTCAACCTCAAGCCAGCCCACCCCAGCCCGACCCCTGCCCCTGTGCCTGCAGGGCCTGCACAGTCAGGCATCCTTGTGGACCGCGAGGTGGTCAGCCTCTTCCTGCACTTCACCGTTAACCCCAAACCCCGTGTGGACTTCATCGACCGGCCACGCTGCTGCCTCCGTGGGAAGGAGTGCAGCATCAACCGCTTCCAGCAGGTGGAGAGCCGCTGGGGCTACAGTGGCACCAGTGACCGCATCAGGTGGGTGTGGGATGGTCGGCACTGGGGACAGGACGTTGGGTAGGGCTGCTGGGGATGGGCTGCCAGGAGTGAGGTGCAGGCAGTGAGCGTAGCTGGGGACCCTGAGGGGGTTCCTGCCATGCGTCAACCCCGCCATGGGCGGCCTTCAGACCCCAGCACCTGAGGAGGAAGCCTGTGGGCTCCTGTGCTGTGTGCTCTGCTGGTTGCAGGGGCACCTGGTTTAGCATCTGTTCCTGTCCCTCAGGTTCTCGGTCAACAAGCGCATCTTTGTGGTTGGCTTTGGACTATATGGCTCCATCCACGGGCCCACAGATTATCAAGTGAACATCCAGGTACCCACCTGTCCTAACCCCACCTCCAGATCTAGGCCCCATCCCCAGGTCAGGCCCTACCCTAGATCAGGTCCCACTTGATCCCACCCCAGACCAGGCCCTGCCCCTGCCCCTTGTCCCACCCGAGCCCCACCCTTCCCAATGTGCCCTACCCTTCTCAGGACCCTCCTTCAGATCCCCATCTCTCTCCTGCTAAGGTCTGTGCCATGTCATATCCCATATGGAGGGAATGCCTGGGAGTCATTCCCTTGGAGGAGTCTACACCCCCAACCCCATGGGCCGCCGATAGGTCACAAGCTGATGGACCTGTGCTGCCAGGCCTGGGGTGGTGGCCAGCCCTCCCTTCCACCTCTGTGGGGTCCCATGGGTGGAGGCAGAGGGACGGAGGCCCAGGGGGAGCAGGATCTGGCTTCTGCCCTTGCAGATCATCCACACTGACAGCAACACGGTGCTGGGCCAGAACGACACAGGCTTCAGCTGCGACGGCTCCGCCAGCACCTTCCGAGTCATGTTCAAGGAGCCAGTGGAGGTGCTGCCCAACGTCAACTACACAGCCTGTGCCACGCTCAAGGTGTGCCTGCCCCTGCCCCACACAACCCGACCCTGACCCCAACCCTGACCCCACCCCACACAACCCTCACCCCACACAACCCGACCCTGACCCCAACCCTAACCCTACCCCACACAACCCGACCCTGACCCCAACCCTAACCCTACCCCACATAACCCTGACCCCACACAACCCGACCCTGACCCCAAACCCTGACCCTACCCCACACAACCCTGACCCCACACAACCCGACCCTGACCCCAAACCCTAACCCTACCCCACACAACCCGACCCTGACCCCAACCCTGACCCCAACCCTGACCCCACCCCACACAACCCTGACCCCACACAACCCGACCCTGACCCCAAACCCTAACCCTACCCCACACAACCCTGACCCCACATAACCCGACCCTGATCCCAACCCTGACCCTACCCCACACAACCCTGACCCCACACAACCCTACCCTGACCCCAAACCCTAACCCTACCCCACACAACCCGACCCTGACCCCAACCCTGACCCTACCCCGCACAACCCTGACCCCACACAACCCGACCCTGACCCCAAACCCTAACCCGACCCTACACAACCCGACCCTGACCCCAAACCCTAACCCTACCCCACACAACCTGACCCTGACTCCAACCCTGACCCTACCCCACACAACCCGACCCTGACCCCAACCCTACCTTGAAGGAAACGCTAATTGCTGAACACTACATAGAAACCTAACCCTGATCCCTACACTCTACCTAGGACCTCACCAAACATCTGACACAACTCTGATCCCTGAACACTTCATTTTCTTTTTACTTCATCTGTCTTTTGTGTTTAATTTTTGAAAGGTATAGCATTCCAGTTTGGTAGTATAGTAGTCCCAACTTATCTGTGGTTTTAGTTGTCCATGGTCCAAAAACATTAAGTGGGGAATTCCAGAAATAATTCATTCATTTAAAATGGTGATGTGCCGTTTTGAGTAGCATAATGAAATCTCACTGCCCTATTTTGTCCTACCCAGGACCCTGACCCTGATATTGACCCCCCAAATCTGATCCCTGAGCCTTATCCAAGACCCTGACCCCAACATCTGACTCTTACTCTGATCCCCAAACTCTATCCAGGACTGCAATTCTGCCCCACATTGACCTTAATTTTCACCCCTAAACCCTACCCTGAATCCCATCAGGACCTTCTACACTAACCTCAACCTCGAAACCTGAATCTTACCCAGAACCCTGACCCCAATATCACTGTGGTGAGAAGTTCTGAGCGGAACTAAAGCAAGGGATCCCTGACCCCTCTCTAGGGCCTTTGAACTCTGACCCACAATGCACCATTCATCTCCGATGGTGTGGGGCTCAGAGGGGTGGCCATCTGTTGTAGATGGAGGATCTGCCACCCAGAGGTCCCACAGCACAGGCACCTCTGGGGGGCTCTCCTGCCCTCTGCTCAGTTGCTGCCCCAGTCCTGGGAGGGGGTGTCCTGACCGCAATATGGCCCACCCGCAGGGCCCGGACTCCCACTACGGCACCAAAGGCCTGCGCAAGGTGACCCACGAGTCGCCAACAACGGGGGCCAAGACCTGCTTCACCTTCTGCTACGCGGCCGGGAACAACAACGGCACCTCCGTGGAGGACGGCCAGATCCCCGAGGTGATCTTCTACACCTAGCGCCGGGCCCCGTGGCCACCGAGACGAGTGGACCCCCGTCCCACGCCAGCCCCGCAGACTCCCCACACCGTGTCTACCCTGGCCATGTTTCTGGGCGTCTCTGTGGTGGTGAGCATGGCTGCCTGCTCAGAGGGGCCAGGGGGTGGCCAGGCAGGCAGGGCTGTGAGACATCCCTCAGGACTGGGGATGAGGGGAGCCCCTGGGTGTGGGTCCCACTCACCACCCCGCAGCTCTGGGCTGCCTGGCGGTAGGACCATGTAGGCCGTCATTCTGTTTGTGTAACTGCACATGGCAATGCATCTTGATCCCCTTGACTTACCCGGTAGGAGTAACGTGTGGGAGTGCCTCTAGTGCGTTTGATCGGGATCTCCTGTTCCTCTCATTCGGGTCTGTTCAGTGGGGGTGCTCAGGCCACCCTGCGCTCGGGCCTCAGGATGCAGGCCTGAGCCCCAGGGGACAGGACCTCTGGGGGTTTGTACCCCTCCAGGTCCTGCAGGTTAGCTTTCCTGCCAGGCTCCTCCCAGCCCTGCAGCGAGGGCACAGGCCTCAGCAGGTCTGCTTGGGAGGGGCAGTGATGGGGGCCAGCACGTGGTCATGTCCCCCATTGACCATGGGGCCCAGGGGGCACTGCCCATTTGCCCGCCTGTACATACGGTCTCCCCACCCCGTCCAGCCCCCAAGCAAGCGCTCTGCCCAGAGGTGCTGAGGGCGCAGCCCTTCCCTTTGCTCCTAGGTTCTCCCCATGTATTTCTTTCTGCCTGTGATTCCTTCTGGAAACTGTGTTCTCCCCGAAGCCATGAAAGGTGTGCTCCCCTCACACCACCACCCCCAAATGATTTTTTTAAATAAAGGAAAAGAAACACCTGCTTTGACCTGTTGTGTTTCTTCCTCTCGGAGCTGGCAGGACCCCAGAAGCTCTGAGCCCTGGCATGTCCAGCCCTGGCATGGCTGGTCTCACTGTAAGAGGGGAGCCTGAGACCCACCTACACCTGAAACGCTGCCTCCGCCAGCCAGAGGCACCCAGGGCGCCTGGGGGACGCGGTAGGGAGGGGAGCTTCCCTGTGAATTCCGTCCTCTTCGTGAAACCTCTGGGGCCTCGCGCTGCCGCTGCTGTACAGCACTGGGGGACCCCGAGGCGGGTGAGCAACATGGCATGGCCCCCAGCAGGGGAGGCCACACTGTGGAACCGAACCCATGTGGGGCACCTTGGGCCTCCTGGCACTTTCCCAACATCAGCGGGGACCCTGCTTCAGTGAGCTGTGCAGGGATCAAACGGCTCTGCCCTCCGGGCCTGGCGTGTGGCAGGCACGGGAAGTACTCGGTTTTGTCTCCAGGCTGCACCTGTGCAGGGTCAGGTAACCTGACCTGGCAGCCTCCGCCTGTCTCCTAGCTGTTACGACAATGTTCAGCATCCAAATAAAAATTACAGAGCATGGCCCTAGCTGGTTTGGCTGAGTGGATAGAGCATCAGCCTACAGATTGAAGGGTACTGGGTTCGATTCCAGTCAAAGGCACATGCCTGGGTTTCGGGCTTGATGCCCAGTCAGGGACGTGCAGGAGGCAACCCATCAATGATTCTCTCTCATCATTGATGTTTCTATTTCTCTCTCCCTCTCCATTCCTCTCTGAAATCAATAAAAAATAGATTAAAAAAAATTACAGAGCATCCCACTTCTAGGAATATATCCCAAAAAACTAGAAACATCCAACATCAATCATCAATCAGAGCATGATAACTACAAACAAGAGAAATAAATAGGAAACAGAAACTGACTCACGTATTTAAGAAATTGGAATTACCAGAGAATGTATACATTCAAGACAGTGGAGGACATGAACAAAATAGATGCAATAATGGAGAATTTTAACAGTTGGAATGTCTGACATTTTAGAACTGAAAAATGCAAGTATCTGTGATGAAGAACCTAGTGGCTAGGAGCACAGAAGAAATGATTAGCCCTGACTGGAGTGGCTCAGTAGATAGAGCATCTGCCTATGGACTGAAGGGTCCCAGGTTTGATTTTGGTTAAGGGCACAAACCTCGGTTGCAGGCTCAATCCCCCCGCTGTGGTTGGGGCACATGCAGAAGACAACCAATCGAAGTGTCTCACATTGATGTTTCTGTTTCTCTCGCCCTCCTTTCCACTAAAAATCAATGGAAAAATATCCTCAGGTGAAGATTAATAAAAAAGAAAAATATCCAAGGTGAAACAACAAAAAGAATGAAAAACAGAGCAAAGCATAGATGTGGCACACAAGGGCCTAGCACCTGTCAGCAGAGTCCCAGATGGGGGTGGGAGAACACCACACAGGCTGTACGAGATATGACAGCAAAGAATGTTCCAAAATCAATCAAGACTTCAACCCAATTGCTAGTTACAGGGACAGTCTGGGGTCCGGTATATGGCCACGGAATTACAGTTTGGTCCCCACGCCTTGTCACAACCAAGTAAATACTACCTCTACATGACCTGCGACCTGATCCCGGGTCCTGCAGGGGGTGGGGGAGCTAGCGCCTCCAAGGCCAAGCTGACTCTCCTCACCAGTCACGCCCATTCTAGCTTACCATTGGAGGGGCTCTCAGGCCTGGGCTGTGCCAGCCTCAACCCTGAGAGTAACAGTGGCAGTGGCAACTATGACTCACCAGCCAGCAACTCCCTCCTAAGGGACAGCCAACCTACCGTTCGGCTTAAGCTGCTACCCATGAATGAGCAGACCCAGGAGCTGCAGATCTAGGACAAGCAGCCGGCAGAAGGGACTTCGTGTTTTCTGGGGATCTTTTGATCAGCCTTGTTGAATCAGCTGCCATATAATACAGGGTGACCACTCCAACAGGGTACAAGGAGGAAGGAGTTAGATTTGAGAAGGGAAATTGTGGGGTCTAGCATAATGAGAAGAAGCACTAGAAATACTGTAATTGAAACTGTAAAGGTTCTTATTGAACACAGAGTTCTACCGAGTATTATCATCCTACTTGCTCTGTTCTTTACTCCTCATGGCACCAAATCAATCAATCAAGAGATTCCAGAGATCACAATTTTAACTGCTCAAGTTCATCCTCTTGCACCTACACATTTTGGACAGAAATACTTGGGTACAGATTATATTATTACTATTACAATAGTCAAGCCATTATGTTTTATTGATTCACATGAGAAATGGCAGTGAAAACTGTGTTAAAGATACTTTGTCATTTTAGGACGTGGGTATAGTAAAAAAATATTTAAGGCTTGTCTGGTTATTATGAGACTCACACCAATCCCTTTGTATACCCAATAAGGAGGCTCTAACATTTCCAAATAAGAAGTTTTCCCTGCAAAAATACCCCAAGATCTCACATGAGAGGTATGGTGATTGTTGGCAACAAATTCTAACAACAAAGCACACACAACTCTTACACTGAAACTGTTCCCTAATTTATGAACTTCAGTTTGAAGATTGCTCACAGACACAAAAAACCCAAACGGAGTAAGTGATTTGGCCTTTTGTTTAGCTTGCTTTTAGTTCTAGGGAGTTTTCATTTATGTGGCTGTTTTCACTTTCCTCTATGATTTATTCCCAGTATAAACATGCCGGTAACTTAAGAGATAAAAAAAGAATTCCTCCTTGAATTTTACATTTCCTTAATATCCTCACTCAATTGGCAGACCCAGGATAGATGGTTAGTTAGCTTTCCAGTCAAGCCGTTATGTTCTTCCTGACTCATTTCCTACCCTGTGTAGTGCTGGTGGTTGGTTTGCCAAGTGTAATGTAGTGAAAAAAATGGTGGGGCATTTCCTGCAACTGGAACTGGAACTTCCATGGATCGAACAGGGATACCTGGATGCTGACAGGGGAAGGCTAAGGCCGTCAGTGCCCCAGAAAGAAATTGGTGGTGGTTTTTCTGAGGTGAGGGAGGAAAGGACAGTGTTTTTCTTTGCTGGGTTTATAACCAACAAGTAAATTAAAATGCTTAATTTTTTTTTAATCCTCACTCAAAGATTTTTCCTCCTATTGATTTTTAGAGAGCATGAAAGGGAGGAATGGGGGAGGGAGAGAAAGAGAGATTGAGAGAGAGAGAGAAACATTTATGTGAGACACATCATCTGGTTGCCTCCCACATGTGCACTGACTGGGACTGGGAATCAAACCTGCAACTAAGGTATGTGCTCTTGCCCAAAAATCAAACCCTTGACCTTTGGGTCCGCAGGCCGATGCTCTAACCACTGTACCAACTGGCCAGTGAATTTTTAAAAATCTTCACCCAAGGATATATTTAGAAAGAAAAAGAGAGAGGGAGGGGATAGGGAGGGGAGGGGGGAGAGGAGAGGGAGGGAAAGGAGAGGCGAGTTTGATGTTTCTCTCTCCCCCTGCCTCTCTCTAAAATTAATACAAAACAAAACAAAACAAAAAAAACAATACCCACATATCTCCAGGTGAGGATTAAAAATAATAATTACAGTAAAATAAACACTAGAATAGGACACATTCGCCACAGAAATCATATATAGACAACCACTATGGAAAACCATGTAAGGTCCTCAAAAAATACAAAATTGAGCCCTGGCTGGAGTGGGTCAGTTGGTTGGGTGTCCTCCTGTACACCAGGAGGTTGCTGGTTCGATTCCGGTAAAGGACACATGCCAGGGTTGTGGGCTCGATTCCTGGTAGGGGGCGTGCAAAAGGCAGCTGATTGATGTTTCTATCTCTCCATCACTCAACCTTCATCTCTCTCTAAAATAAAAATAGAAATAAATATTTTAAAAATAAATTAAAAAACAAAAAACAAAGATGAAATCATAAAACCAGAAAGCAGAATGGTGGTCCCTGAGGGTGAGGGACCAGGGAGATGTTGGTCAAAGGGCACACTTCCAGTTACCAGAGGAAGTCATGGGCATCTAATGCACAGTGTGGTGACCAAAGTTAGTCAGACTGTGTTGTGTCTTGACAGCCACTAAGTGGTCTCACCACACACACAAAGGAAACATTACCCATAAACAAGAGGGGGAAAGTGCCAACAGAAATGGTCACACAGAAGACCTGTTAGAATTAGATGGCAAGTACAATAAAGTTACTGCTATAAATCTGTTAGAGGAAAATGGAGCAGAAAGGTGAAAAGATGGATTTCAACTACAAAGGGAGAAATGGGAACTAATACTAAAAATATCTAAAAAGAATTTAATGGATAGATGGAGAGCAGTTAAAACACACAAAAGAAATAACAGATGCTCTTTGACTTACTATGATGGGATTACAGCCCAATAAAATCATCATAAATTGAAAATATTTTAAGTCAAAATGCATTCCAAACAGCACAGCTTAACCTATTTCACCGATAACATGCTCAGAACACATATAATCTGCACTTGGAGAGGATCATACCGCATATCGATGGCTCAGAAAAAGATAAAAATTCAAAGTACTGAATGAGTATCAATTTTGCACCATCATAAAACTGAAAAATCATAAATCAACCCATTGTTAACTTAGTGACTCTCTGTATATCCAAAGATAGCAAAACAATCCAAAAAAAAAAAAAAAAAAAAACCCAAAAAAACCCCAGAACAGAATATCAGAAACCTGTGGGATCATGTAAAATAGCCCTACATATAGGTATCTGTATTGGGGGAAAGAGAAAATTGGCCAAAAAACAAACCCAAAAAACAAAAACAAAAAACCTGAAGACATAAAAAGCAGGAAAGTTTCCAAAACTGATGAAAGATATTAACTGAAAGATCTAAGAAGCTGAGCAATGTACAGCAGGATATATACAAAGAAAACCACACACCATCATCAAATAACAAATCTAAAGAACAAATTCTTAAAAGCAGCCAGACCAAAGGATACCTTACTTTGAAGGGAACAATGCTGACAACTCAGCTCTCATCAGGAACGTCTTTAAAATCCAGTCACTTTGCTTCATGTGTGTTTTGAAACGTCTGATGACAAGTTCTCCTGACTTGGTGAACTGTTTTGTCTTCTTACCTGTAGGTCCTGAGGATGATCATCTTTAAACCAGAATCATTTCACTAGGCTGTGTCATGTACATGATGGTTTCCTGATGTCCCCAGGTGTACCTTCACCTTGGAGATTCAGGCCTTTTCTCTGCCTACTGGTTTAGGGAATGTTTCCTTGAACAAGTTTTAAACACTGGTTCTGATTTTCTTCGAGGACTGAATGACATGTCCTGCCTTGTTTGCCATCACCGCCACCTTCCTGATGCCTCACCCTTCATGCTCGTTCTCCTGCTTCCAAAGCCCTTCCGCAGTCTTGGCACCTTGCATTTTATTCTGTCTCTAAAATAATTTCTCAGATTTCCTTTCTGATTTCAAGCCACTGCTTTCCGTTTTTTCTTGCCCATTTCTGCCATCAGTTTATGAATTTTTAGTCCAAGATGTTTTTCACACCAAGTGCTATTGGGGGCAAGTCTGGCTGTTCTCCTGGGCTTTGTAGCTCTCACGTTGGGAGGGGGTTTCCCATCTGCAGGTGGGAGGACCACATTCTGGATTCCCTAAATCCCCCTTTGCCTCTGACCAGCCCTCCTGCCTGTATCCCCCACGAGACCTGTAGAGGGGCAGGAGTGGGCAGAGGCCAAGATCCCACAGGGGAAGTGGGAACAAGGTATTGAGCACACTTGGTCTATCTTCTGGTGGTTCTGTTATTTGAGGAGAAAAAGCTGGGCCGGTCAATTAAGAGTCTGCCATTGTCTTCAAGACCTGAAAATCCCATTAAACTTTTCCAAGAATGTTGACTTTTATCATTGCTTTCTTGGCACTATCTGAGTCTGCTAGGGTGGCCCTGGGCAGCTCAATCCACAGACGTTTCTCACAGTGGAAGAGGCTGCAAGCCTGAGGTCAAGGTGCCAGCAGGGCTGTTCCTGGTGAGGGTCTTCCTCCCGCTGCCTCCTCACATGGTGAAGAGTGAGCCTGCCTCTTCCTCTCCTGACAAGGATACCAATCCTGCTGTGGATGTCCCACCCTTGGACATCTGACCCTGACCACCTCCCAGAGGCCTCCTCATAACGCTATCCCCGAGCACTGGCTGCCAACCTATGAATGTGGGAAGACACACTCAGTCCACAGCCACCCAGTTGTCCTATCTGCACTCAGCCTCTTTCCGCTCGCTCAGTGCTCAGGTGCACTCAAGTCTTATCATTCTGCCTGACCGGCGTGGCTCAGTGGCTGGGCTTTGACCTATGAACCGGAAGATCACAGTTTGATTCCCCATCAGGGCACTTGCAGGGGCTGCGGGCTCATCCCCAGTGGAGGGTGTGCTGGAGGCAATTAATGATTCTCTTTCATCACTGATGTTTCTATCTCTCCCTCTCCCTTCTTCTCTGAAATCAATAAAAATATATAAAAAAACAACTTACCATCCTGATATAACAAGTACTTTGTTTCTTCTGGAAAGCAAGCCATTCAATGCTTTATTCTGTGTGTGCATGATTGGCGAGGTCACCTGCTGTTCTGCACTCTGTGATCGCTCCCTTCCTTGTCATTCAGCAGCCAAGGGGTTTTTTGCCTACCCACCACGAACACAGCCAAATCCAGCTCCTTTAGTTGTTCCTCTGTTTCTGACCATCCATTCTTCCCTGGCTGCCCAGATCCTCTTCTGACTCCACCTCCGAGGCTGCCCCTTCCCAGGGACTCGGGCATTTGACTGCTGCTCGTCTCAGCAAAGCCTCTCAGAAAGACCAACACTATACTCAGAACTGGTTTCATTTTCCTTTATTTTTTTTAAAAAAAGCCCCTAAGTTCTATGGCTTCCAGGAAGCATCAGAGAAACAGAAGTGCCATTTCTGTACACTTTGTAAAGCAACACCTAGATGCACACACCTCCGCCAATGCCCCAGCGGCTCCGCCCGCCGGCTGTGACTGCCTGGCCTCTGCCGCACCTGCGGGCTGGGACGGGCTTTAAGGCGCCGATTCCTGCGGCTCAGTGGCCCTGAGCACAGACACAAGGAGCCCTCACGCCGGGCACGGCCCTGGCCTAAGCGGCCGCACAGCTGGCTGCCGGGCTCCAGGAGAGGTGCAGCAGGACGCCTGTGGCCACACCGTCCAAGCTTTGGTGCAGCACTTTGGTTGGGGTGCCGCTCCCACCGCGCCTTCCCCTTTGGTTTGGGGAGGCCTGGGGGGGGGGGGGGGGGAGGCTCACCCCTGGCAGCAATGCCCCACAGCGCCCCCTCGAGAAAATGGCCTTTGGATAGAGGGAGACGAGCTAGACTTTATGACACTAATGGGGCGGGCAAGCTGGACGGCGCGGCGGCCGGGGCCTCCAGGTCACACTACTCACTTCAGCAGACATGGCGAAGGGGCGCAGGGCAGACGGCCGTGTGTTCTCTTTCCTTGTTTTAAATAGTTAATGCTCTTGGAAGGGAGGACTAGACACAGGTGTAGAAATTTCGGCCAAAGTCTTATGTGAAGGAAGTCACCCGCGGGGGGAGAGCAGCTCCGGGCCCCAGTCCGTGTCCTGGCCGTGGGCCACGCAGACGAGCTCCTGCAGGAGCTGCCGCGGGGGGTGCGGGGAGCCCCCGCCAGGGTCACTTGTGCCGCTGCAGTGATTTCCTCTTTCTCCTCTTGAAGAAACAGCAGCACCTGGGAGGAGGAGAGCGCGGGAAGTGGGCACAGGTGGGAGGGGCACGCTGGGTGCAGAGCAGAAAGGAGGGATCAGCTGGCCCCAAGGCATCTCCGCCCCCGACACTGCCCAGGGTCTTACTTGGTGTCATCCGCTACCTCTACCTCTGCGGGCGCTGTGATGGGGGCGTTGGAGTGGCCGGCAGTGGGATCGTCAGCATTCAGCTCCCCATTGGTGGAGTTCAGTGCCTGGTGAGTGGCAGCAGAAGAGTCACGTGGGTGTGACCTCCAACCACCGTTCTACCCCCTACCCCGCCCCCCGCAGGGTTGTTGGGATCCTTGGCCTGGCGCCTCACCTGGTTTTTGCTGTACAGCTGGGCTTTCTCCCTAGGCTGAGTTTGCCCAGGCAGGTCGGTGTGAACTGTGCCAATGGGCGTAGGCTGCAAGGGGGGCAGGACAAGGTGCTGATGTGGGCACCATCCACCCCTATGAACCAGGTCCTACCTGGATCTGCACCAAGGCTACAGGTACTCGGGTCCTCCTCCAGTTCAAGGCACAACCCCCAGGTCCAGGGTCCCACCCTCCACATTTAGGGTCTCACCCCCAACATGTGGGGCCCGACATCCCCAATGCCCAGGGACCCCCACCTCCAAGTCCAAAATCTTTCGCGCCGCGCGTAAAGCCCCTGTTCAGGCCCGGCCCGGCCCGCACCCAGGCCCCGCTCCACGTACCAGGGGCTTCCCCGCCCAGTCGTACTCGTAGTCGAACACGAAGCCGCTGCGGTCGAAGAGGTCTGTGAAGAGCTTGCGCAGGTAGTCGTAGTCGGGCTTCTCGAAGAAGTCCAGGCGCCGCACGTAACGCAGGTATGTGGCCATCTCCTCTGAGAAGAGCCAGCGGGGCTGGGGTGGATGTGGGCGAGGGGCGGGGATTCGTGGGGGGAGGGGAGGACGGCCGGGGCAACAGGGACAGCGGGGGCAGGGAACACGGCACTGGCCGGAGAGCCCTCACCTGGGTGGCTCTCGCAGAGCACCTCGATGGGCGTGGCCCGCTTGGTGTCCCCGATCTTCTGGTAGCGCTCCTTGAGCGTGTCCGCCTGCAGGCAGAGTGGTCAGCGACATCACTGGGAGCCACGGCCAACCCTCACCCACACGCCCTGGCTCACCTTGAGCCCCTGCCAGGGCAGACTGCCACGCAGGAAGTACATGAACATGTGGCCTAGCGCCTCCAGATCGTCACGGCGGCTCTGCTCTGAGGGGAAACGGCAGTTCAGCGGGACAACAGCAGGTCAGTGCATTCCCCCCTCCCCAACCCCGCCTGTGCCACTCACCCTTGCCCAGGTGTGTATTGATGCTCATGTAGCGCGCCGTGCCCGTCAGGCTCTTGTGCTCGCGGTAGGGGATGTGCTTCTTGGTCTCGGGGTCGATGTACTCCTTGGCCAGGCCAAAGTCGATGATGTGGATGGCATGCTGCCGCTTGCTGCCCGGCCGCCCCACCAGGAAGTTCTCGGGCTTCACGTCGCGGTAGATGAGGCTCTTGGTGTGCACATACTCCATGCGCGTGATCTGGGCAGTGGGCAAGTGTCTCCATCTGCCTGGGTCCTGCACGGCCCCTCCCGCAGCTCCCTTCCCCAGGCTCCGCCCCACTCCTCTCCCGGCCACATCCCACCCTGCAGCCAGGGGTCCCCTAGCCCGCACCAGCTGGATGGCGATCATGAGCACAGTCTTGAGCGTGAATGTGCGGTCACACAGATCGAATAGGTCCTCCAGGCTGGGCCCGAGCAGCTCCAGCACCATGGCGTTGTACTTCCCGCACGGGCCAAAGTAGTAGACCTGAGGGACACCCTCTGCGGGTGGAGCACGCACAGATGCCTAGGGGGCCTGCAGCAGGCCCCACTGTCCCCGCCCGCCCGGCTCTCCCTGCGGCGGTACCTGTGGAGCTGAGCTGCTTGTAGAAGCGGTATTCCAGGTGCAGCTGCGGTGCCCGCGACTTGATGGGCTCCTGGAGGGACGGGGAGGAGGTGGAGAGTTACCTGGGGTGTAGCACCGCCCCTCGTCCTGCCCCAGACCCCACATGGGGATAGTTTCTGCTGTTGGGTGAAGAGCCTGGACTCACCAATTTGATAGCTACGTATTCATTTGTATAGAGATTCTTTCCTGTGGAGGAGAGAAAAGTCAGCACAGCAAGACCCCTCAGCCCCCATTCCTCCCCACCCAGACCCTGCATGACACACCCCCTCCAAGGGGCACATTCTGTTCCCCAGTAGCCCCCTTGAACTTGGCCCTGGCCTCCCAGGTCCTGCGAGTGAAAAGGATACCTGCAAGATATCCGCACCCCTTTGGGTATCCCCATCTATCCTGAGCCCTCACATCTCAAACCCCCACCCTATCTTACTGCTGCTCTCTCCTCTATAGCCTCTGCCCACCACCACCTGTGTTCTCCAGATCCCAGTCCCCCCCAGCCCCATCTAGGTTACCCGAGCAGTCCCCCTAACCCGCCTCCACCATTCAAGCAGCTAGCCCTCCAAGCACCCCAATGTGCCCCAATTTTCCCATAAAAGAAAATGGAACATGGCCCTTCTCAACACCCGCTGCAGGAATGGGAACCAAAGACATCCATATCCCCTAAGCATCTCCCACCTCCCGTCGCTCCATCCCCAGGACCCCCAGGGGTACAGTCTCCTCAATGAATCTGCGTGGATCTTGCAGACAGGAGGTGGCAAAGTCTGGACCAGCCCATGTGTCCCTCCAATGCCCATCCATGAGGTCCCTCCCACCAGTGGACCACACTCTGCCTCCCCTCCCTGCCCGCAGCCATGGTTCATTCCAGCACCTTCCTCCCCTACCCCTCTCCCCATGACAGTGGAGTAAAGGACCACTGGCCAGAACCCCCCCCTTACCCAAAGAGGTTTGTCATGACATGCAGAGGACTTACCCCAGGTGCCCTGTGTCCTCCTTCAGCCCCTCCCCGCGCCCCCACTTCCAGGCTGGCTGTGTCAGATTAGACCCTGCCCACGGTGCCAGCAGGCAAAAGGCCAGGCTAGCTTCCCCAGGCAACAGAGCCCAGCAGGCCAGGCAGGAGACCTGCACCCCTCTCAGGTTAGAGAGATCACCCAGGGCAGGCCTCACTGAGCCCACCCACCAGGACCTGCAGGTGCCCACAGAGGAAGAGCTAACACCCAACCTCACAGAGCTTTTTCTCCTGTTATCGTCTCTAACGCCAGCACAGACCCAGACGGTCCAGCCACTACTGCTGGGTGACCTGCCATATAGACAAGGGGCCACCCCAATCCAGACTCATATGCATTGAGTTACTGTGCACGGTGCCATGAACACCTGTACCATCATCTCTGGTCCAATGGCCCCTCCCAGTGTTGTCCTGTCCTTGGTCCTGAGACCACCATCACCAGGTCCTGAACACCACAAACATGGCCACACACTGTGTCCAAACCTCAAGGCCTACCTTACTCTGCCTGCTGCAGTTGGCAGTCAGGGTGACATCTTCACTCTAGCTATTCCTGCCCCGCCCACGTGGTGGCAGACACCAATGTGTTCCACCTCAGAGGTTGATGCCAGAGTTCCCCAGTGTTAGTCTGCTCCACTGGTCACAGCCACTGCCTTCTGTGCCGAGAAGTCCACCACAGTGGTGGCATCCAGCTGTGGGCATGTGCCTTCTGCTCTGTTGTGGCTATTCTAGGTCCTTGGTTTCCATGGTGATTCTCAAAGCCCTGAAGGGTGTCCTGGAGTCTGCAGCCAAACTGAAGGAGGTAACATCTCTTACGAACTGTCCCATCACTCCTGGGAATGAACTCCCAGTGATGCTTTGTCCCTCAGAGAGAGCTTGCCCAATCTTTGTTAGATTTATTCCAGGAACACTTGAAGAATTTTAGCATTTATACGATTGGCATTGTTTTTTTCACAGACACCCATTAGAAGGAAAAGGGAGCCTCCTTTTAGTCCTGATTCTTGGGTTTTGATAAAAAAAATAAATAAATAAATAAGTGTCCCACCTGTGTTTTCACCCACCATTTTTTAAAATGCATTTTTATTGATTTCAGAGAGGAAGGGAGAGGAAGAGATAGAAATATCAGTGATGAGAGGGAACCATTGATTGGCTGCCTCCAGCATGTTGGACCCAGCCTGAAACCCAGGCATGTGCCCGACTGGAAATGAGCCCGGGACCCTTTGGTTTGCAGGCTGACACTCTATCGAAACCGACAAGGGCGACCCCACCATTTTTTTATGGAAGTCTTAAACACAGAAAAACAGAAGGAACTGTTCGGTGAACAGCTACATCCTGCCTATATTACACAATGAACAATTTGCTATCTGTTCTGTTGCATATCTATCAGTCATGAATCTCTGATTTGTAGCTACTCCAGCCTGCAGCTCAAGTTCTATAATAATAAAAGCATAATATGCTAATTAGATCGGCTGCCACTGGGGGGGGGGGGGGGAGAGAACCGAGCCCCTTGTACGAATTTTGCTCTAGTGTGTATATATAGTTCTTGTTTACCCTGTGGGATATTACATTTACCAAGAAATGCACACATCTGCCAAAACCGGTTTGGCTCAGTGGATAGAGCATCAGCCTGTGGAATGAAGGGTCCCAGGTTCAATTCTGGTCAAGAGCATATGCCTTGGTTGCGGGCACATCCCCAGTGGGGGGGGGGGGGGGTGCAGGAGGCAGCTGATCGTTATTTCTCTCTGATTGATGTTTCTAACTCTCTATCCCTCTCCCTTCCTCTCCGTAAAAAAATCAATATATATATTTTTAAAATGCACACATCTGAAGGGTGAATCTGATGAGCTTTGATCAATGTGTCCCTCTGCAACCCCTACCCTTATCAAAGCACAGAATGTCCCCACCACTCACACCCCTTCTTGGTCCACCCCCACCTGCACCAAGACAGAATCATCTGGTGTGTTCTCTCCCACCGGTTCCTTTCACATGGCATGATGTGCTCAATTCCTGTGGTGAAGCATATCCGTGGTTCCTGGTGACAGCTGAATGAAGACTTCTTCCTTCAAGGGGTCCCACCCAGTCAGCATGGGGGACACCTGAGTTGTTTCCAGTTTTCTGTTATAAGCAGAGCTGTAGTGAACGCTGCCTATGGGCCTTTCTGTGGGCAGGCTAATCACTTCTCTAGTAGGTTTGCTGGCTTGTACTGCACATGTGGGTGCCTTCTGTGCTTCCCGGCCATTTGTCTGCTTATGCAAAGTGTCTGTTCAAATCTCTTGCCCATTTTTAATTGGAATGTCTGTCCTTTTATTATCAAGTTGTTGTCCTTTCACATATCCTGAACATCAGCGCTTTGTCAAATGGTGCTCTGAAAATATTTCTTCCCAGTCTGTGTTTGTTCCAGCTCATAACAACATTTTGTGAAAGACATTTTAAACAATCATGAAGTCTAACCGGTCCTTTATGGTAAAAGATCATTTTATTCTTCATGTTTGGACTGCATATGAGTTCTAGGAGAGCCAAAGTCCTTGGAGTCCAGCTTGAGCTCAAAGTGAGCACGCACATGTGTTTGTGCACACACATCGGCAACTGCAGTCTGTGGATTTATAGACTTCTGGGCTCTGAGAGCTCCACCAATGCTCATGTTATCAGTTTTACCTATGCATGCAGCAGGCGAGAGAGTCTGCAAGGCCTAGCAGAGAACTCCAACGGGGCTATGAACAGGAAGAAGATTCCAGAGGCCACACAAGATGGGATGTTGCTAGAGATGCCTCCCTGAACTTCCCTGACCTTAGACTAAGAAAGCCCACCTGTGGGGAGAAGGGCAACTCCAGCCCTGGAGTAATGTCTGCTCCTAACAAAAGTAATCCTAACAAAACCAACATCAGTCCCTAATGGAGTCAAAATAAGTCTTAAGACCAACCTCAACCCAGACTTAAGTCTGTGACACGTGGCACTCACAATATCCAACATACAATAAAACATTACCAGACACGAGAAAAACAGGACTGTAAAAAGGAAAAACAAAGTGAAATGCACCACATACGTAGGCATTTATATAATAATAGTTACAAGTGTGTTCAAGGATTTAAAGAAAAAAAATGGGCAAAATAAACAAGGAGATGGGAATTCTCAAGAGAATAGGAGGGGAGTCAAATGGAAGTGAAAAATACTGTGTATGAAATAAAATATTCACTAGATGGATCACTGCAGAGAAAAAGAAAGGTGAACTTACAGCAGGGCAATAAAAACTATACTGAAGCAAAGAGAGAAAATGATGGAAAGAACATGAAAAGAACTTAAGGAATGGGACAGCATCAAACACTCTTAACATAACATTGGAGTCTGAGGAGAAGACAGTAAACTGAGGCAGCAAAAACACAAAGAAATAGCCGAAACCGGTTTGGCTCAGTGGATAGAGCATTGGCCTGTGGACTGAAAGGTCCCAGATTCGATTCCAGTCAGGGGCATGTACGTTGGTTGCGGGCACATCCCCAGTAGGGAGTGTGCAAGAGGCAGCTGATCGATGATTCTCTCTCATCGATGTTTCTAACTCTGTATCCCTCTCTCTTCCTCTCTGTAAAAAATCAATGAAATATATATATTTTTAAAAACACCAAAAAACAAACAAACCCACGAAGAAATAATGGCCTAAATTTTTCCGAATGTAATTTAAAAGTGTCAATATACATATCCAAAAGCCCAATGAATCCCAAGCAGGATAGACACAAAGAAAACCACACCTAAATGATGCATAATAAAATGTGAAACCAAAGAATATCTTCAAAACAGAAAAAGACACATTATATTTGAGAACAATGCTCAACGTTATCAAGAAAATGCAAATAAATTCCAGAGACAGCACTTCACATCCACTAATAAGGAAAAAAGTCTGACAACTCCAAGTGTTGGTGAGGATGTGGGATAACCAGACTCCATATGCTACCTGAAGGAGATTAAAGTATACAACCACTCTGGAAATCAGTCTGGCAGTTTCTCTTAAGACATACGACCCTTGTGACCCAGTGCTTTAACAAAAACACTCATACACAAGATTTGGAGAAGGATGCTCAGGACAGTTTTATTCATAATAGCTTAATCTGGACACAGCCAAATATCCCTGAGCAGGAGAATGGAAGAACAAAATGGAGAACAATCATACAAATGGAAAAAATAACAAAGAGTGACTAGCTACAGACACACATGACAACATGGATATTCTCAAAAATGCACTGAGCAAAAAAAGCCAGGCAGAAAAGAACATATATTCAATTAAAAAAAAAAAAATCAAGCCAAAAGCTGCTACACACTCTCCCCACCCCCACCCCTAAATATGCCCACTCATCTTTCTGTGCAGACCTGGACTGTTTAGGCTGCTGCTCCAAACACCAAAGAACAGGATCCATGATGGTGTCTGAGTCCACAAAGCTGTATCGCTCTCCCCAGCCCCACAGGGACAGTATGTGCACACACCCATGTGCACCCTCACGGGGCAGCAGGGCAGCTCCGTCAGGGGGAGCTGAAGAGCTGGCCACCATGCTGCTCAGGTCCCTCTGTGCAGGCTGGGCTGAGCACGTGGGGCCCATGCTCTGGGAAGGTGTTTGTCTCTCCCTCACCCACCACAGTCTTAGTTACTGATGTGACAACCCACTGCCCGTCCTTCATGACCTTCCCACCAGCAGACAGGGGTGGGCACCAGCCCCTAATAGTACATGGATTCAGATACCCCAAACCTGGGGCTGTCCACAGCTCCTGACAACCAAATGCTAAACAGTGCACCAGCTTAGACACTGGAGGCTTCTATGTCAGCTCTCCCATACTTTGATCCTCTAACAGAGCTGTTCCTCAGACACAAAGGGAAGAGGTTGGGAGTCTACCCCTCTTCCCAACCTCCTCCTCGGGGAACAGAACACACATACACACTTACCTGTGTCCTGATCACAATAATCAGGAAGGCCATCTGCAAATGACTGCGACCTCATTGGGCAGCCTTCCCCCCACCCTATCCCCCGAATGCAAATGAGCGGGGCTCACCTAGCCGGAGCTCCCCGAAGTTGCCACAGCCTATCTTCTTCCCGACCCGGAAGTTGGGGCCCACCATCAGGACCCCCGAACTGGTCCCCGTGTTCCGGACGCTGTGGCTGGTCCGGCCACCGGCCTTGGACATTCTCCGGCCCTCCTCTGACTCCCCTTTCCCTCCTTTCTTGTCAAAATCCATAAGTTTGTGGTACCCTGGCCTCTCCACGGTGACTCTGCTGCTGTACAAATCCCGGGTCTATGGAGACCTGAGGTCACGGGCGGCTCTTTGGGGCTAGCACACCATGGCACCTGGCGGACTCCTGGCTAATGAGATGTGGGTACTCGCGAGGGCCAGGCCGTGGAATTCATCTCGGTGGCCTCAAAGTTGCACGCAGGGGGAGGACACATTCTGCTGACAGGTCCCGCCACCTCAAATCTTGTGACTCCCAGCTGGGGGAAAAACAGAGACACAGGTTAAAAGATTGAGACACAACTACCCACCTACCCATAATACAGCCCAGGGTCCAGAGCACAGTATGGCACGGTGGCATTAACTAACAGGGCTGGCACAACAGGATGGCATTCTGGAGAGACCTCTGAAGGCACAATCAGGGACAGAGGCCACTGTGATTTCCATGTATCAAGGTAATATAAGATGTGCATTGTTGAGTACTGGCCCACAACACAGCTCAAAGACAATTGCACTGGGAAGAATGAAGTCTAATCAAGTGACAGAGGCCCCAGAACCAGGTAAGGAGCCCCAACTTGGATGCAGAAAGAAGCAAGGGCCACTCTGCCCACAGCCCTTCCCCCCAAGCCAAGGGGTCGTTCCTCTGAAGAAGGAAGAGGAGAGAGCGCAGAGCCCCCTCCTCGCCACTGACCGAGGATCTGGCCAGCTACTGATGCGAGCAGTAGTGTCTTGGACATGGTGATCCCATGAGGCCTAGGGGGCAAGGACCCCAGGGGGATCCCAACCCATGGCCCGGAGCTCCCTCACCCTGAGGCCAGAACAGGGCCCTGGCGATGATGAAAGGGAACAAGAGTGGGGCCTCTGAGAACCAGGCCAAGGACAGAGCCCTCTGTCAGCCCTTGGCTTTGGTTCTGGGAACAGCTGGCCCAAGCCTCAGAGCCAGAAGGAATAGGCACCTCATAGAGGGGTATCCCAGCTACGTGTTCATGGAGAGGTGGGACTACAAGACAGCAGGACTCAAGAGGTGCAGTGAACACACACACCTTCCCATGCTCGCTCACTCCCCTCCTGTGCTTACACACACACGCGCATGCACACCCTTCCCCATGCTCACACATGTGCATACCTCACACATGTCCATGCCCTACCATGCTTAGTAGTCCTCTCAAGAGGGACCACACACATAACCAGGCACATGGAGGTGCCTAACCTGCATGTGACCCTTGGACCTGGGCACAACCAACATGGAGAAGGGTCACAGCCCCACAAGCATGGAGGCTCTGTGTATGTACCAACACTGGCCCCAGTTGGCTATGGAGAGACAGCAGCCAGTTAGGACTACAGAGTACAGTGTACATGCTGCCCTCCCTGAGTCCCCAACATTACCCAGTGACCCCCACTGCAGTGTGTCTGGGCCCCACACAGCCCTCTTACACAGGGAAGATATACAGACACTACCTTCAGGGGACAATGGGCATAGGAAGGCAGGTGAGGGGCCTGACCCTTCCCCAAGGACACCAGCCCCTGCTCACCCCACAAACAAGAGCTGCCGCCTCACCACCCACCAGCTACATGGGGGTATTCTGGGTCCTCTCCCGGAAGCTCTGAGCCAGATGGGACCTGCAGGGGGATAGCAAAGTGAGTCAAGCACCTGCCTGAGGGGAAAAAGTCTGAGTTAGGGCTAGGACCAGAGCTGAATGCCCAGCCCAACACACACCTGGACAAAGCAGGTGACCTAAAGCCTCAGGAGAATGGAGTGTCTGACCTCAATCCAGACCCAGGAGTTAAAAGCAATTATCCTGGAGGAAGGGACCTTTCATCCCTCCTTTATCTTCAACCACATTAGAATGGCCCCCAATTTTACCCCTGAGTGTCCCCAACAGAGGGCAGGCCCTCCAGGGGTGTGGGCTCCGTGTGGACCCACAAGGCCAAATTCAATTCCACACTGACATAATCCCCGGGCAGCTCCTGGAAGCTGCTGTCCCGCCTGTGTTCACAGTATGTCTCATAGATTCATGCTCCAAGTCAGGCCCTGCTTCTCCACCAATGCGCACCTCAGGTGAGTTACCTGCCCTGTTCTTTTTGGGGTCCTCCATCTTGTCAGGGCCAGGGCTGGGTCCCCTGCAGGGGCCTCTTCTCTGACCATCTCCAGTCAGTGATGTCACAGTCCCCGGCTGACATCATTAGCACAGCCCCAGACCAGAGCCAGAACAAGTCTAAGGAAGGTACAGGCAGCCTCCCTCCCACAGTGCGCAGTGGACCCTGTTGTGAGTGTAGCCTTGGAAGCATCAAGACTCAGATGATCCTGGCTACAGACCCTTCTCTGCAACTCTGGACACATATGACCCCGTGTTCCCCCACATCAGGAACCTACCTCTACCTGGGGACTCAGTAACATGCAGAGGCAGCACCTCCTCCCCAGGAATTACCTGGGCCCAGGAACACGGCACCTTAGGAGCCATGAGCACCCAGTGTGCCACGTCCTGGCATCTAAGCATCAAAACTCCGAGGGACCCAGGAGACCTGCCTACCCTGGGTTTGAAGCTGAGAAGTCCCAGGGCACCTGCAACATCATGTCATGGCAGAGAGGAAGGAAGTGCCCCACAATATTGCACAGGAACCAACCACACAGCTCCTGGAGATAAGGCCAGTGTCAAAAAAGATTAAGCAGAAATGGGTCTTAAAGCACCAAGTTACAGACAAAGGGAGAAGAGATAGCTGAACCTGGAAGAAATGCCATCAGCAAGCAGATGGACACGGGACTGAGTGTGCCAAGCAGGTGGCCTGAACAGTGATCTGGGGTGTGAGCACCAGTCAGTGCTGCCCCAGAGGGTGTGCAGAGTTCCTGCCTGAAGTCCTGACCAGGACCTGATGGAGGAAGGAGCTGTCCCCTGTGAGAAGGGACAGCTATCACTGCACCCATCATGGAAAGGTGGACTAGACCCATCAATGCTCTTGGAAGAGGACCAGAGATCACAGGGGATGGTCACGAAGTGGCAGGATGCTCTCACACAGTTCAAGAAAAGCAAACACATCCACAGGTGGCAACGAGCCCATGAGGAGCAGAGGGTAACAGGTACTTTTCTTGCATGCTTTCAACAGTCTTAAAACATTTTCAAAATTAAGATTACAAAAAGGCAAGGTTGCAGCTACAAACTCAGACCACAGCAACCAAAGTCAAGCAACAGTCTGGGTCATAAAAACACGCCTTCCAGACAGAGTTGCCTTGGTGTGTGGCAGCTCCGGAACTAGTCCTGGCTCATCACCTGTAACAAAGGTACCACACTGACAGAAGATGGGGGGACTCAGCAATCGGCATGAGCTTCACAATAATTCTGTAAATCTAAAATTGTTCTAAAATAAAGTTTATTTTTAAAAACCCAAACCTTGGCCCTGGCTGGGGACTCCATTTATTGGAGCGTCGTTCCATACACCAACAGGTAACAGGTTCCATTCCCAGTCAGGGCACATGGCTAGGTTTCGGGTTTGATACTTAATCAGGGTGCCTATGGGAGGCAACCAATTGATATTTCTCACATTTTTTTTTTAATCTCTAAAAATCAATAAAAACATATGTTATTGTGAGGATTAACAACAACAAAAATTTCAAACTTCCATTTTCTCCAGCAGCTTCTTCCTGCCCCTCCCTCACCCTCAAGTGTGGTGCCCAGCCATTGTCCCTAGGCAAATGTCACCACTGAACCCCTTTCCATGGGGCAGCACTCACGCAGTCACTGAGTTCGTGCCCCAAACCATAAGCTCCTCAAGGACACAGCAGCCTTTTGTGTGGCAGTATGCAAAAACTCAGAGACTGGTGAACATATGATAGCAAATAGATCAAAAGATCCAAGAGAAAGAAGGCAAAGATGCAGAGGAGGTATAGATGGCCTCACATCGCTCTGCCTTTCTAGTCTGACATGCAGATTAACAGAAAGGCTCTCACTTCTCAGCCTGTTGTGGTTAGAAAAGGAACATTCAATAGTGGTGACACCATGGGAAATGGGGACTTTGACTTAAAAGAAAACACTGACATTTAGGTAAATGAGGTTCTCTATCCAGGCCACATAGCCCAGAGTAACAGCCAAAGCAGTACTAGTGACAGCCATGTAGGTGTAACCCTGTCCCCGCCCTCTGCAGGGAAGGAAACAATTCCTGCACAGAAACAAAGTGGCAAACAGTGCACCCTCCAAAGCTGTCCCTAAGATAGGCAAGAACCCAGGAAATGGTTCCTGAGGCTGGGGATCCAGGGCAGGACCCACCTCACTGCATTCCCCAAGTTCTACTTTCCTCCCTCCCAGTGAGCACAATGAAAACAATGCTTTTGCATTTCCTAAAATCAGCCTTGGTAGGAAAAAATGGATGGGGAGGATGCTCTCGCCTCCCACCTAGCAGGTGCAAAGTTAGGAACATGCAGGGCTAGATATCCTCATTGCCAGAAGTTCTGGAGGGACCTATGCTGGAGGAAATAAAGGTGCCCCCCAAGACGCCCGCAAACTGGTCAGAACACATGGAAAGTGACATTGCCCAGAGCGCCCTGATTTTATTGGAGTGGGCCCAGCATCGCCTGTAGGGGCCAGTCCCACTCAAGGGACCTGACCATGCAGGAGGGAGACAGGCCCAGCCAGCTCTCTTGGGGTAAGACACCCTTCAAATCAGACACCTTTCGGTCACTTAAAGACACACCTCCTTGGGAGATGATCAAGGGTGTCCAACTGCAAAACTCACTATGACCAAAGGCCAAAGGCTGGCATGCTGTCTTTATCTGTCTGTGAAAGTCTCAAAGTGCAGGACCTAGCCAGCGCCACCACAGTGACTGGGGCACTGGCACCTGCTCTTAACTTCTGGTTTTCTGGAAAGTGCAGGGCAGAGGACAGGCAGGGTTCTGGAAACTGGTCAGCGTTCCCAGATTTTGAGAAGGCAGAGATGCCATGCTGAAGGGTCAGAGTCCAGCACAGAAATGGCTGAAGAGAAGCCACTGAAATGTGAGTGGGGAGGGGAGGCGTTTGAGG